TTTTTTTCCACGTGAATTCACCTGTACACTCAGAAAATAAATGCTGATACTTATGGCATGCTGAGCTGTTTTTTTACCATATAAAAGATGCCAACAAGCATCCATTTAATTTTCATAGACAAAGTATACACAAGCAAGATTTCAACCTATGAATTTCTCACTCAAAAATATGATTTTTCATGGATCACTGGTTTCATTAGAAGATCAGCATAGTTAGAAAGGGAAAGCCCATGAATACCTTTTAATACATTTAGGTGTCTTTCTATTAATTGCTGTTTTTATGTCGTTATTGGTTCTTTCACATTTGTGCTCCAGTTTGATCAGTGGTTAGTATTTGCACATTTCCCCAAAGCAACCCTTACCACTCTCTCTAAACTTAAACAGATAAAGGGATTCAATAAGGAAGACTTATATGTTGTACATACTAAGTCTCTATTAAAAGAACAAAAATTTAGATTAATATGGGTACAGCAAAGTAGTTATCATGTACTTTGTAAATTTAAAAGTTTTAATATTTATGAAAAAAATATGACAGCACATTTATTTTTAGTTTTTCATATGTATAGTTTTAATATGTTGATTCTGATATTCAGGATTAGTTTTTAGTTTTAGAATTTCGTCTAAGTAGTATGAAAAATGGTATTCTCATCAAACTATTTCTCTTTTATACACCAGCAAGCTCTTTCAGCTGCGTTTCTAATAAACAGTTTACTGTTTGGGCTTATAATAGTCATACTGGAAATGTTCCTTTAAAAAAAAAATCTTGCATATTTTACTGGATTTTATTAACTAATGAATACATTTACATGAGTTAGCATTTTTGTTTCAAAAGGTGATATTCAACATTAAATTTCCAGGTAAGTGGACATTAAGAGCATTAAGGACGATCAGAAAAACAGTTATTGTTATTATGTTGCCAACAGCACTACATCCCGCACAGTGGGCTCAGAGTCCTGGCTGTGATTCGAGCTGATCCCAGTGTCTGAGTCTGTGTCATTGGTGTACACATGAAGCACTCTTTGAGTCAATGGAGCAACAGGGCCATCGCCCTTCCGAGTTTCCACCTCCTTCCCTCGGCCTTCCTTCCGCTGGCCTCCGTCTGTGTCGTCGACCTGAAGCGAGCTGAGCTCCTCGGCCAGGAGCTCATATTCTTTGGCTTTCATGTGAAGCAATGAGTCATTGTATTTAATCTCTTTCTGGATTCCACTCAGATGAGAGTGGATTTTCAAACCCGCTTTCATGCTTTTCTCCAAATCCCATTGAACACTTTCTAAATTGGAGCATTCCAGTTCACCTGCAGCTGCCCCTTCTGCATCTTCATTTAGCTCGAGGAAAACACTTTTCACCTCTTTTTCTATTTCAGTGGAGAGCTTATCAATGAGCATTCTGTAATATTTCAGTTGTTCTTCCAGTTGTGCAATTCCATCACTTTTGCTCAGTTCGTCTAGTATCTGACTTTCATCACACTGCAAGTCTAGTTTCTGTTCCACCTCACTGAAACTGGGCATTAAGTATGCATCCTGGACATAATTTTCTCCATCATTTTCTACACGATCAAGATGGAACTTAGCTTCACACTTTTCAATTTCTAGATCCAGTTCCTTCATTCTCTTGACTTGCTGATGAATAGTATGGTCCTGAGAAATAATCAAATGAATTAATGTCTCCATGTTATCTCGGTCTTGGGAAGCCATGTCTTGCTTAATTTTAGCCAGTTTCCTGAAGGTTTTTTTGACTATTCTTTTTTGCTTATCTGGTGGTAATGTCTTCATGTAATTTGCTGGGCTGAGTTCCCACTGCTTCTCTGTGTTCTGTACCAATTTAGCTTCGGCTGTCCGCCACAGGGGGACTGGAAGGAAAGCATCTGCTTTCACCAAAACAAATTGCATATTGGCCTGCTCATCTCCCCATGCCTTCCAAAGCTTCAGGATTCTTGTGAGTGGTGGGAGAACCCGTTCGGAGCCCCTCCACTTTTCTATGATACAATAATCACTGGGTTTTCCCAGAAGAAACCGCTTCTCTCCAAAAGTTGTTTCATGTTCCTCAAGCAAAGCCTGGATGACATCAGCAGAGGTGGTATGTTTAGTTAACCCACAGACAATCTTTTCTTCTTGGCAAACCCAAACCACAATTTCCTTCTCTTCTGAGTCCATGTCTTTAGTTGGAGATCTGAAAGAAAAACAAAGCACATGATGTTTCTGTCATCACTTGTGTTAAATCAGAACGATGGTTTAATATCCACTCTCTCACATTCTACTCTCCATGACAAATGCGGTTGGAGCTTAAAGCTACTGAAGAATCAAAAGTTTTAATGCAAAAAAGAAAGAAGTAAAAGTAAAAATAACGACAACAACCATTGAAATGATCTCAATTTGCATTGAAAAGATAGCCACAATATAACTATCATTAAAACTAAAAAAACCCAAATCGGGATCATAGAACCCTTTATAGATGTCCAGCCTGTCAGTCTTCATGGGAACAGACAGCTTCATTTTTCTCCCTTGGAGAAGCTGGTGGATTTGAATCATCTGCCAACCTTGCAGTTAGCAGCCAAGTGTTCATTCCACAGCACCACAAAAATTCTTTACAACTTAAAAAAATAGGCAATAATCAAAGAAGAGATGAGTAAGAGGAAATGGAATAAGACTCTTTATGCTGGATCCTTTTTCTGGAACATGAATGCCTAATTAGAAACAGTGAGATAGTATCAGAACTAGAATTCAAAACAGTCTACTATAGGAAATAATCATCCTTTCACGTTATTAAAAAGCACGTAGTGTGTGTCAATCATTTGTTAGATATGTCCAATGATGTTAAGGATACATCAGTGAATAAAGTTGAAAAGAAAACAAACCAGAAACAGTAACTAATATGACATCAGATAATGGCAATGTGATGAAAATAACTAAACTGGATGATGGGTGTGTTAGGCTGGGTGTCTAGAGAAACCAATCCAGTGATGAGCTTTTTATCAAAAAGTCGTCTTATATCCAAAGAAGGCCCAGTCCAACTTGAGTCCATCAGTCTGATGCTCGTCCAGAAGTCCCTCTTCAGACTCATGCGGCTGCACGCCGGTGACGCAGAGCGATGAAGGAGGAAGACCATAGGCCAGTGGGTGCAGAGTTGTGTGGCTCCAAGGCTGGTGGAAACATGATGGTGTCCAAACATCTTAGGATTGGACAGCTCATAAGGGGTTGTCCCTGGAGGCAAACTCCCAGCAGGTAGAAAGTGGCCGAGAGAGTGAGAGAGGGAAGTTTTTCTTCTTATAAGAAGATCACATCCCCACGGAGGAATCATCATGCAGTGACTTGATTGACAGGTTGGATTCCACCCCTACACTTTCATAAAAATTCAAGTTGACATAAAAGCATGTACCTACCACAATAGGACAGAGAAAGACCTGGAAGAAACGAGGTCTTTGGGTGTAGTACTTTGGAAAGGAGTTCATGAAAAAAGTGACATTTGGATAAAACTTAAAAACCAACTGCCATCAGGTCAATCCCAATTCATAGTGACCCCATAGGGTATAAAGAACTGTCCCACAGTGCATATTGCCAGATCCTTCTCCCATGGAGTAGATGGCTGGTTCAAAATGGTAACTATTTGGTAAATATCCAAGTGCTTAACCATTGTACCAGCAGGACATTTGAATAGGAACATGAATTACTATAACGAGGCTATCAGAGTCCTCAGAGTAAAGTTCTAGGAGAATGAGCTATAGTACAATGGTCATGAAGTCCATTGTATGAACAGAAAGACCCCGATGATAATGGAGTTGGGAGTTGCTGCCAGAGCAGGCAAGAGGATAAGTAATAGTTGATGAGATCAAGGAGAAGGCAGTAGCTTGTAGATAATGATAAAGTATTTGGATATTGTTCTAATTTCAATGGGAAGTCATTGGAAAGCTTTAAGCAGAGGAGAACATGTGATGTAACTTATGCTTTTATTATATCAGATCTTGTGTAAAGAACAGACTATAAAAACCCAAAATGAGAGGTAAAAGGCGGATCTGGAAGACTACTGCTTCAGTCTAGAGATGGGATCATTAGCTGGACCAGGGTCTTACATGTGGAGTTATTAAAAAGTGATCAAAACTGAGACATAGTTTTCCAAAAAGACTTGACAGGGAAAAAATCCAGAAAAAAAGGACCCTGACAGTAAATGAAGAACAACCCATAGTCTGTGGACCATTATGAACACGGGGACTTCATAAGGTCATATTTTCATGACTATAATGACCACCACGATGATAAATCAAGCTGTCCACATCTGTCATGAAGCTCCTTAAAGAATGTTCAGAACAAATTATATAAAGTGAATTATAGTACAGTATGATTTATGGAGACGTAAGACTTTTGAGTAGTAATCAGCTTGTTGTGAATGTTAAGTCACAGTTATTTATCACCTTGTTTATGTAACACTCTGAAAACAGGTGGCTACGTGGAGAACATACCAGAGCAATGTTCCCTGTCTTCTAGAGTCTGTTACCCCGTACAATATGCAGTGCTTATGGTTTAGTGACAACAATGACTAACCTTCTGCAATTATCTTTATCTTAAGAGAACTAATTACTGTACTTTGGTTATTGACTTTCCTGAGGTTATAAAGTGGTTACTGAGGATGTAGGGAAAAAAATTAATGACACTAAGCAACCTAACAGATTACTTCCTGTACCTAACAGAGTACCCAGTGCCATTTAAGTATTCAACTGTATTTAGCCAAATTTTATAAAAAATTACTAAAAAACACATCCTGAGTAATTTTTCTCTATGTAATCACTTGCATTTAGTGACTCAGTATTGAATACAGGGACACTTTCAAATGAATTTAATAATTTGCTTTTCTTAAAATGAATGTGATTTAAAGTAAAATTATTTTATATTATAATTAGTAGAGAAATAATATACAAATGGATTCTAAGTAATAAAATGCCAAAGTAATTAACATTAACTGCTAAGTTTGTTACAGCTATCTAGTACAAATTGAACATAAATAAATTCTTACCTTGATATATTTAAATCATAAATAAAAACTACTCAAATCCATGCAAAAATTTTATATAGCATGTAATTAATAATATATTAAACATGGACATCATGAAAGGCAAATCATATTCTGCATTTTCTGTATTAAATTATAATTAATTTTGAAAAGAACACTTTATGAATAATGTTTAAAAACATTTAATTTGAATATTTTATTATAAATTTTATCAAATAATGCCGATAGCTTTTATGTTAAAATTGAGGGCATGTTTAGTTTTACATTATTTCTAATATTTAGGGTTAAACTTTTAAAATTCTATTAAAAGTAACATCAACTAAAATAATAACTATGAACGCTAGTATGCATTAGCCACTTTTCTAAACTGTTATATATCCATTAACTCATTTAATTCTAACAATTCTTAAGGTCATATTTTCTGGGATGAAGAGCTATGTTGTTAAAATGGTCAGTTAATGATGGAGTGTGATCTGAAGCCAAACAAGAAAGCTGACACGGGTGTCTCAGAGTCTGAGTCAGAGCCACTACACTATAAAAATAAGGTTATAAATTTTATTATTTAAACTGATGGACTAAATTGAGGGAAAAATGTACAGAAATTATCCCCATCTGTTCTTATTAATCATTTTCTGATCTGATGTAGTTATTAGTAAAGACTTTCTGGAGAACCTTGGTGTTTCTTTTCCTTTTTATTTTTAATCGTTTTATTAGGGGCTCATACAACTCATATCACAATCCAAATATACATCAATTGTGTAAAGCACATTTGTACATTCATTGTCTTCATCATTCTCAAAACATTTCCTCTCCACTTAAGCCCCTGGCATTAGGTCCTCATTTTGCCCCTTCCTCCCCCTCCCCCGTCCCTCATGAGCCCTTGATAATTTATTAATTATTATTTTGTCATATCTTGCCCTGTCCAACGTCTCCCTTCACCCACTTTTCTGTTGTCCGTCCCCCAGGGAGGAGGTCACATATAGTTCCTTGTAATCGGTTCCTTCTTTCCAACCCACACTCCCTCTAACCTCCCAGTATCGCCACTCACACCACTGGTCCTGAAGGGCTCATCCGCCCTGGTGTTTCTTTCTCTTAAAATCATTTTATTGGCGGCTCATACAACTCTTATCACAACCCATCCATCCATCCACTGTGTCAAGCATATTTGTACATCCATTGCCTTCATCATTTTCAAAACATTTTAACCTTGGTATTTCTATTAACTAACAAAATTCTCATATTTTCAAAATCTTTTTCTATAATCTCCTTACCATGGTTCCCTTGGCTCCCTTTTCTGGCTGGCAAACACAGAGCCAAATCTATAGCTAAGGATAATCAAATCCCAAATCCACTGGCCATGAGTAGATTCCATCTCACAGGGACCCTCTCAGACAGAGTAGAAATGCCCAATGGAGGCCCACTGCCACCTTTCCACAGATCAGCTGTTGGCTTCAAACCACAACCCTTTTGGTTAGCCAGTGAGCACTTTAACCACTGTACTACCAGGGTTTCTTAAAGATGACCCATGACTTATAGCCCCTTATAATCCTATTTTACAGCTATCATGAGAAATGGGAAGAGAGCTACATAGTGGAAATCAGTGCTACATTATCTAAGTGAGCTAAAATCTAGCAGCTATTTTGGAGAGGCTAGAGTATAGAAGAACTTGCAATAAGGGAATTTATCTGTGCTTACAGGTCTTTAATAGCCATCAATTCATTTTCTCCCTTACTTTAATTTTTACCAAATTATTGCCTACACTCAATTATTTGTTTTAAGTGAAGGTCTTTGGCAGCTCAGTTCTATACCACAAGCTATTGACATTTGCATTTCAGACTGTGTTCTTCTTGTTATATTTATAATAAAGATGATAATAGCTTTCTTACAGAAAAAAAAAGAACTTGATCCTTCCAAAAAAAGAAATGGGACTAATTATGGTGAAGATCATGAAAGTGAAAGGAAACTACTTATATTACTATTCTATTATGCAAAGGGATTTATTTCATATTATTTATATTAATTCACAGTAGTTACCTTACTTATGGCAGAGTATGATATTTGTGTGATGTCATATGCTTATTTACCTCCAGTCCTCAGGATAAAAGAGAAAGATATCGTGCCCAGAACATTTACGTGAAAATTAGTGTTTCCTGATCATACCATGCATA